CATACTCAAAAATGAACTCAAAATGGATCAGAGCTCAGTGTAAGAGCTAAAAACATAAAACTCTTAGAAAACAGAAGAGTCAGTCTCTGTGACCTTGGATGAGGCAACGGTTTCTCAGATATGACACCAGAAGCACAAGTGACAAAAGAAAAAAACAGATGAATTGGACTTCATTACAATTAAAAACTTTTGTGCTAACACCATCAATGAGCTGACAACACAACCCACAGAATGGGAGAAAGTATTTGCAAATCATATATCTGATAAGGAAATGGTATCCAAAATATATAAAGAACTTTTAAAACTCAATCATAAAAAGATGAAAAACCAATTAAAAAATGTGTAGGGGCTGGGCTGGTGGCGCAGCAGTTAAGTGCATGCGCTCTGCTGTGGCAGCCTGGAGTTCACAGGTTCAGATCCTGGGCATGCACCAAGGCACCACTTGTTAAGCCATGCTGTGGTGGCATCCCATATAAAGTAGAGGAAGATGGGCACAGATGTTACCCAGGGCCAATCTTCCTCAAGAAAAAAGGAGGAGGACTGGCATCAGAAGTTAGCTCAGGGCTACTCCTCACAAAAAAAAAAAAAAAAAAAAAAAAAAATAAAAAAAGCGTAAAGGAGTTTATTAGACATTTCTCCAAGGAAGCAATACAAAAGGCCAATAAACATATGAAAAGATGCTCAACACCATGTCAGCAGGGAAATGCAAATCAAAACCACAATGAGGTACCATAATAAGATACTCACACCCACTAGGATGGCTAGTATCAAAAAAATGGAATACTTGGAGCCAGCCCGGTGGCGTAGTGGTTAAGCCTGCGTGCTCCACTTCGGCGGCCCGAGGTTTACAGGTTCGGATCCCGGGCACAGACCTACACACCACTTATCAAGCCATGTTGTGGCAGGTGTCCCACATATAAAACAGAGGAAGATGGGCATGGATGTTAGCCCAGGGCCAATCTTCTTCAGCAAAAAGAGGAGGATTGGCAATGGGTGTCGGCTCAGGGCTAATCTTCCTCTCCAAATGAGGAAAAAAAAAAAGGAATATTTTGCTACTCAAAGTATGTCCATGGACTGGTAGCATCAGCATCACCTGGGAGCTGGTTAGAAATGCAGGTTTAGCTACTCCAAGCCATAGAAAAATCTTTTAAATTCATGTTTTGATGCCATTTTTTTTCCCCCCAAAGCCCCAGTAGATAGTTGTATGTCATAGATGCACATCCTTCTAGTTGCTGCATGTGGGACGCGGCCTCAGCATGGCGGGAGAAGCGGTGCGTGGGTGCGCGCCCAGGATCCAAACCCGGGCCGCCAGCAGCGGAGCGCGCACACTTAACCGCTAAGCCACAGGGCCGGCCCAATGCCAATATAATTTTAATACCAAAACTTAAGAAAGAAAGAAGTATAGATTCCTTATAACTATTAATTAGAATTAGAATCTCAACTTATGACTTAGAGATAAAAACTATAAAATATTAGCTTATAGAAGTCTTCATTATATCAAAAAAATAAAAAACAATATATAAGCAATTAGTGTTGTCCAGATGCATAGAAATTGGAACTCCTATACGTTGCAGGTGGGAACATAAAATGGTACAACCAATTTAGAAGACAATTTGGCAGTTCCTCAAGATGTTAAATGTGGAGTTATCCTATAACCCAGCAATTCCATTCCTAGGTAAAATTTCACCCAAGAGAAATGAAACATACGTCCACACAGAAGCCTGCACAGGAATGTTCACAGAAGCACTGTTCACAGCAGCCCAAGGGTGGAAACAACTCAAATGTCCATCAAGTGGTAAATGGATACCCAAAATGTGGTCCAGCCATACAAGAATATTATTCATCCATAAAAAGGAATGAAGCACTGACACAAGCTACAACATGAACATTAAAATCATCATGCTGAGTAAAAGAAGCCAGACACAAAAGGACACATAGCAAATGATTCCATTTATATGAAATGACCAGAAGAGACAAATCTATTGAGACAGAAAGCAGATTAGCGGTTGCCAGGCGCTGGGGGGAGAGGAGAATAGGGAGTGACTGCTAATGGGGACAGGTTTCTTTTTGGGCTAATGAAAGTGTTGTAAATTTAGATCATGGTGATGGCTGCCCAATTGTGAACAGACTAAAAATCAGTGATTTGTACAAATGAAATGGGTGAATTGTATGGTATGATATGTGACTATCAATAAAAATGTTAAAGACACAAGAAAAAAAGAAAGAGCCACTGACTGGCTGGGGCAAGGGGAGTGGAGAGAGGAAAGCTGGGTGAGAGATGAGGGGAAAAGGTGGCGGCGGGGGGCGGGGGCAGTGCTGGGGGAGGGCAGTCACTTTGGAAGCAGCGTGGATTAAAGGTGGCCTGAGCCAGCTTGGCATGTTCTAGGATGCTGGTGGTGAGCAGTCCAGGCAGAGAGAAGGGGACTAGGTACCAGGCTTGGGGCCACAGGGCTTTGGACAGGAGAAGGGGAGGGAAAGACTGATGGGAGAGGGCCACTGTGGACCATGGCTCAAAAGCAAGGCTGGAGGAGGGCCCAGGAGGACTGAAGCTGAGGGCGGGGTTCCAGATGAAGAGCAGGGCTTTTGCACTTGCTGTTCCCTCAGCCTGGGGGACTCCTAAGAGATGTTCTTCTGGCCCACCCTGGCTAAAGCAGGCTATGAGGTCCTCAGGACAGGGCCCAGCACCATGTGTACACAAAACAAGCAGTTACTGAATGCAGGCACATAAATAAGACCCCACCACCAGAAGGGCTACCTTCCTCACCCCTCTGCACCCAGGAAAGACTGGGATGGGTTTGTATGTGCTACAACGCAAGTTGGTGTAAAGGGATGTGATTAGGAGACCAAACTCCAGGCAGTGGTATTTAGGGCACACAGGAGGCACTGCTGTGTCATAAACTGAAAGAAGACCAGGATAAACGGCATGTTTGTGACTTAAAAAAAAAAAGAGAGAGGCGCTGGCCCGGCAGCCTAGTGGTTAAGTTTGGCGTGCTCCGCTTTGCTGGCCGGGGTTTGGTTCCCGGGCACAGACCTACACCACTGTCAGCAGCCACGCTGTGGCAGCAACCCACATACAAAACAGAGGAAGATTGGCAGATGCTAGCTCAGGGCAAACCTTCCTCAAGCAAAAAGAAGAAAATTGGCAACAGATGTTAGTTCAGGGGGAATCTTCCCCAGCAAAAAAAAAAAAAAAAAAAGGGAGAGAAAGAGACAGAGATGCTGACTGGGGGGAGCCCAGGGAGGTGGGAGGGCTGGGATCCTTCTGCAGCCTGGTCTGGACACACAAGACACACAGGTGCACATGTATAAACAGACCTTGTGCCACACACCTGACGGGTGCACCGGCCTGGGTGTGAAGTTATACCTCAAGAAAAGAAATGAAGAGACTCAGATCATGTTATATTGCTTCAATCTATTCTAGGATGAGCAGAGTGCCCATGTGGTGCCAAATCCAGCCTGTAACTTGTTTTTGTATGGCCCTCAGGCTAAGAACACTTTTACATTTGTAAAAAGTTGTAAGAAAGCAGCAGCAGTGGACAGAGACCATCCGACCTGCAAAGCCTAAACTATTTATCTGGCCTTTTACAGAAAAAGTTTGCCAACCTCTGTTTTGGGATACAAAAAAGCCAAGAAGGGGTAGGGAAGGATTTCAGTTTTCATTTGACATTAACTTTTCTACTGTCTGAATTATTACATTTTTTTTTACCAACTCCCTGAATTTTTTTGTTTTTTAATTAAGGCATAATGTGCATAATATGCACAAGCTTAAATGTAAAGTTTGATGAGTTACAGCAAATGTGTTCACCCTTAACTGTTTTAAATTTTTTGTATTTCTCTGTTAACCCTGGGTGCACAGTATTGGCGGCTTTTTCTTTCACTCTTAATGTTTCTGTGTGGAACCCAATAATAAATTTTAAAATTTTACTCAAAACATTTGAAAAATTTAAGAATACACATTCCCGCGACATCCTGCAGGTGGGGGCCACCAGCGAGGAACCACCGCACAGAACATCTTTTAAATTCCCTCAGTGTTCTGGGTTTCCGCCCCAGCTTTGCTCTGGGTGGCCCTGAGGGGAGGTCGCAGCCTCTCTCCAGCCTCAGTTTCCAAACCTGTAAAACGAAAGCAGGGCGGAAGGCTCGGGCTAAACTAATCTCGGTTTAACCAACTGTAAAATGGGAATAATTAACAGGACCGACCTCCAGGGCTATTAGAGAAAGAAGCAAAGGGCTTAGTAAGCAATCGACCTACTGCAGCAGTCGTTATTGTCATGTACTGAAACTATCAGGGATCCCCAGGCTCCGCCTCTCGCCACACCGCGGGGGAAACTGAGGCCCGGGGCCTCCCCGGCGCCCCGCCCCCGCCGCGGGGCCCACAAGGCCCAGACTCTGACGCCCCGGCGCAGGGCGACACTGACCCGACAGTCCCCGACGTGGAAGGTTCCGCTTGTAGTCGATGGGGCCGTAGCCCCCCGGCGGGGGCATGTCCTGCTTCACCTTCGACGCCGCCATGCTCTCAGGACCTGGTACTTCCCGTCGCAGGCGGAAATTACGTAGGCGGCGGCCGCGGCCATGCTGAGTGTGGCGGAAGCGGCCCCGCAGGTCTAGGGCACGGCTGGAAAACCTAGGGCGCCGGTGCAGCGACTGCACAGCGTGGGAAAGCCCCAGCAGCGAGGCCTGGGGTCGACTGCGCGGCCCGGCTGCGGCTGAGGAGTCCTCATTTCTTCTTTTCCCAAGTGGGGCGTGGCTCAGTCGGTGTCGACGCCTGGAGCCCGTCCGGTCGCCCCGGTCCTTGCACTAAAGGACGTCACGTTCACCTTCCCTCTGGGGTGATGTGCTGGCCGGTCATAAACTCCAAGCTCCTGAGGGAGCCAGGTCACCGAGTTAAGCCCCCTTTCCCGTTTTCTCTCCCCCGGAGGGCTCTGCGGCAGCCCAGGGCTCCACATGGTTAGGGCTGGGTACACGAAATTGGGGGGCAGTTGCTGCTCAGATTCGAACTCACGAGGAGCTGCCCCAATGCTAGACACGGATTCCGCTACTCAGTGGTGTTCGGGATCCCTTGCTAGTAGCCTCTCATCGGGAACTGGGCCATTCAGACAGATGATGAGTCACAAAGCCCGAGGGCCTTGGGGGACCCCGCGGGGCGGGGTCCAGGCGGCCCCCACCCCGAGGCAAGGTGACGCCCGTGGTCACTTCACAAGGCAGAAATTGTTACCTGGGCAATAAAAGGCACCACAGCGGCGGAGGCCCGGGAGTGGGCACATGGGGGTGCGGGTGTGCAGGTGCCAATCGCCATGGGTTAGGCCCAAGATCGGAGTCCGGCCGCCCCCCGACAGCAGCCGCCTCCTGCTCCCCGCGCACCCCAGGCGCCACCATGTCGGGCGACAAACTTCTGAGCGAACTCGGCTATAAGCTGGGCCGCACGATAGGCGAGGGCAGTTACTCCAAGGTGAAGGTGGCCACGTCCAAGAAGTACAAGGGCACGGTGGCCATCAAGGTGGTGGACCGGCGCCGAGCGCCGCCCGACTTCGTCAACAAGTTCCTGCCGCGAGAGCTGTCCATACTTCGCGGTGTGCGGCACCCGCACATCGTGCACGTCTTTGAGTTCATCGAGGTGTGCAACGGGAAGCTGTACATCGTGATGGAGGCAGCCGCCACCGACCTGCTGCAGGCTGTGCAGCGCAACGGGCGCATCCCCGGGGGGCAGGCGCGCGACCTCTTTGCACAGATCGCCGGCGCCGTGCGCTACCTGCACGACAACCACCTGGTGCACCGCGACCTCAAGTGCGAAAACGTGCTGCTGAGCCCGGACGAACGCCGCGTCAAGCTCACCGACTTTGGCTTTGGGCGCCAGGCACACGGCTACCCCGACCTAAGCACCACCTACTGCGGCTCTGCCGCCTACGCGTCGCCTGAGGTACTCCTGGGCATCCCCTACGACCCCAAGAAGTACGACGTATGGAGTCTGGGCGTCGTGCTCTACGTCATGGTCACCGGGTGCATGCCCTTCGACGACTCGGACATCGCGGGCCTGCCCCGGCGACAGAAGCGCGGCGTCCTCTACCCCGACGGCCTCGAGCTGTCCGAGCGCTGCAAGGCCCTGATCGCCGAGTTGCTGCAGTTCAGCCCGTCGGCCAGGCCCTCAGCGGGTCAGGTAGCGCGCAACGGCTGGCTGCGCTCGGCGGACTCCAGCTAGAAGCCGGGGTTCCCGCCATTCCCTCGGCCCCGAGCACTGCGCAAGCGCAGCGCACGAGCGACAGGCGAGCTTCAGGAGTACTGCGAAGCCGCGGCGCGCCACCGCGCACGCCCCCTTCCCCCTCCCCCTGTCCCTCGACGGCGGGGGCCCGCAGTCGCCTCTGTCTGGAATCTAGCTCCTCCTCCACGGTTCCGAGAGTAGGAGGGCGCATACGCTTCCTCGATTCCGCGTGAAAAGGCCCCAAGAGGGGGCGGCGCGAGAGGAGATGGAAGCGTTGCACCTGCGCGGAATGAGCGATGGCTGCGCGGCGGGCGATGGCTTCCCCAGCCAGCCATGCAAGTCGGTGGGGGACGGCACGCCCCGGACGCCCCCTTAGAACTTGCAATAAACTCGCTCTTTCTCGCACCTGGCTCTAGCGATGGCTCCCTTTTAGGGAGCAGAGGGGAGGGAAGGTCGCTTCCGCCGAGGAAGGCAGGCGCCCCATTTTAGAGAAAGGCTTGTTGAGGTTCCTGCTCTAGGTCTCAGAAGGGAGTTGAGAAGATTCAAACCGGACCTTTTGGGCTCCCCAGCATGGGCAGACTCGAAGGGGATTTGGGGTCGTCCCCAGGCTCATGATGGTGCTGGCAATGGAGATGCTGGGCTGGGGAGCAAGGACCACAGCACCCTTCCTGTGTTTAAAAATGGAACGGCCGGGGCGTGGGGGCCATCTTTCTCGACATAAACTGAGCGTTTACAGATGAGGGAATTGAGATATCTTGGGCAAGATGTCACTTGCCCAAGAACACAGCTAGGGTTTGAACCCAGATATGGCTGAAGTAGGGTGGGGAGGTGTGGAAGTTCTCTTTGGTGGGGTCAGAGGGGGAGAGTCGAGGGTAGGGCATGGGTTGGCTGGGCAAGCTGGTTCATTCAGTCCTCTGTTCATTCGTGCATTTATCGAGTGCCTGGTGTATGCCAGGCTCTGGGACTCAGCAAAGAGGCTTGGATTCATCCCTGTGCTTAGCGAGGAGGCAAGTGAAAAGTGAAGGAAAATAAAATGGTGTAGAAATAAAATAATTGTAAGTTGTGCTAAATGCCGGGTCGGGGGTAACCAAGGAGGGACTGAAGCAGGGATGTTTGAGCTGAGCCCTGCAAGAATCAGACACTGGGGCCGGCTCCGTGGCTTAGTGGTTAAGTGCGTGCGCTCTGATGCTGGCGGCCAGGGTTCAGATCCCGGGCGCGCCCCAAGGCACCACTTCTCCGTCCAACGCGAGGCCGAGTCCCACGTACAGCAACTAGAAGGATGTGAACCTATGACATACAACTATCTACTGGGGCTTTGGGGGGAAAAAAATGAATAAATAAAATCTTAAAAAAAAAAAAAAAAGAATCAGACACTGGAAGCAGCAGAAGGAAAGTGTTCCCAAGACTGAATGGAGCTCCTGTGGCTGAAATAGAGAGGGAGGGAGAGGTGGAGAGGTAAAGATGTATGTCCTGGAGAGGGGACCCCACGGGCCTGGGCGAGATTGGGGGTTATTTTGCCTACATTGAGGTTCCTGGGTTTAGTGACAGTGGCTGTTTGTCATTTGGGGTGCATGGGAAACGTCTCCCTAAGTCCTAATTCTGTCTGCCTCCATTTGAGCCCCACACTGTCCCTGAGGGAGCTGCTCAGCTGTGGGTCCCCATATCCCATATCCCACACCTGCTCACTCACCCTCCATGACTTTCAGGTGCCCTGGGGATTAAGTGCCAGCTGTCCCCTCAATTCCTTCTAACAGGCTGTGCACCCACACCCCCCATTTGCAGATGAGAAAATAGAGGCTAAGAGAGGGGAAGTGCCTTGCCTCCAATCTTGGCTGGTTTACATCAAAGCTGAGACAGAAAACCCAACCCCTCTGGTTTACGCAAGAAGGGTGCCTCTCCTGAACTAGGCCATGCCTCAGGCTCCCCACCTGGAAAATGGGGGCAGGAACCTATCACAGGGGTTGTTGGGAAGAGGCATGGCTCACTGGAGGGCTGGGCCCCCAGCTTTCTCAAGTTTCCCACTGCACTGGGAATAAAACCCACATCCTTGCCCCTTTCCCCCACCCTCCAGCCACACTGTCCTCCTTGTCCTCGACCTGCCACACTTATTCTCACTTCTGAGCCTTTGTATTGGCTGTTCCCACTCCCTGCACCACACTTTTCTCTTCATTCAAGACTTGGCCTAAAAGGTCACCTCCTCTCTGACATCCTCTTCTTTCCCTCCTTGCCCTTGTCACAAGGTGCAATCCCAACACCTGCGGTGTGGCACATGCCTTTTTCTGTCCACCGATGAATCTGTGTGAGCAATGAGGCCCAGGTCTCCTCCTGCCCTGTGACCACAGACCCATGCCTCAGTTCAGAGAGCACAAGGTCTCAAGGACCAGGGCGAGTGTCCTATTTGTAGCTAGAGAAGTTGCTCGAGACTCACCCCTGGTCCATTGAGGAGCCTGTGCCTGATCCAGGGAAGACTCACTCGAGGGCTTGTGTGGAGCCCTTGAGAAAGCACCCCATAATTGCACTTCTCAAGGCCAGTGGTGGGGTGTGGGGCACCAGTTAGGGTATGTCATGGGTGGAGCAGGACAGGCTTGGGTTTAATTTGTCATGTATTCTACCAGCTCTGTGCCTTGCCCAGGTGAGACCAAGCTGACCGTGGCATTGGGGAAGGCCGTCAGCCCCCAGACTGGAGGCAGGAATGCCCCCAAAACAGGAAACAGCAAAAAAAATAAAAGTGCCTAGGAAAATAGGGTCATATTTTGTGCACATTGGACTTCACTAAAATGATTACGTCTCCCTTTGTGAATGAAACTTGAAACAGTGTGTCAACCTCTGGAAACAAATTTTCACCAAGAACTGTTCATTTCAGAGTCAGCTAATGGCTGATGGCTCCTGGCTCCATCTGTGTTTAGAATCCACATCCATAACATCACATCCTGCAGCAAACACACCCAATGCGGTGCCAAGCCTGAAAAGCACTCCAGAAAAACCGGCCACTCTGGGGTGGAGACTGACAGGGGCTAGGAGCCAGCCCGACAGGCAAAACCCACAAGATTCTCACCCCACTTCTCCAGCTCCGTGGGTAAGCAGGCACAAAGCCGCAGGTTCTGGAGGAGACAGAGGCCCGGAAGTGAGGCCACAGTTGCCCAGTTGGAGAGGACTCAATCCCTGTGGGAAGTGAAATCTGAAAGAAGTCCAAGAAGCAGGTGTCTCATCCTTTGCTCCCGGTTAACAAAAGTCAGCCTGCTGCACCTTCCCAAGTCTCCAAGCTGCCCCAAAGCTGGGATGAAATAATGCAGAGAAACCAGGGCCAAGGGGACGAAAGAAAAATACAGCCAATACATCTTCCATCTCTTTATTGTCTTTCAGATTCTAAAACTTCCTCATGACACAATGTATAGCCATTGATTCCAGCCTCTTTGTTATTGGAACTTTTATTCCGGTTTGGTGGCCGTTTTTTTTTTTTTTTTTTACATTTATTATCAAAGAATTAGAGTCACAATAAATACAAGTGACACCCCCCCCAACAAACCACCTCCCAAATACCCTGCACTAGTGTAACTGTCTATTACACTTTGTTAAAGATTATAAAACTTTAGCTGTCCTTTTATAAAAACCTCAGTCCAAGTTCTTTAGGCAAATGTCACGTGCAGCATAATTCAGCATCAAAGAAAAACCCTATGGTGGAGCAGCAAGGACCGTCTTTTCCATTATTTACACCCCTGTGATGAGAATATATTATTTATATAGAAAACTACTCCCTGTGTCTGTCTACAGGAGTGAGGTGTGGAACACAGGAGCCACGAGAAACAGCAGGACTGTACTCAGTGGCCTCTTTCATTCTCTCTGCACTGGGGCGAACTTTTGCTTCACAAAGGTCTTGGGGTACAGACAGGACCACAGGCCACCCCGGGAGAAGGGCCACTATCGACCTTGTTAAAGGTGTGGGTTCAGACGTCATAGATGGGACACTGGGGACCAAAGTCCCCATAACATGGTCAGACAGCCAGAGTCATGGGCGGCTCCAGGTAGACACATATCTGTGTGAGCATGCAAACGTGTCCCCGTGGGTCCACACACACAGTCATCAAAATGGGGAAGGATGAGCTCTGTGAACCCCCCCACCCCAGTCCACAGAGCAGCTGACATTTTGAAGTTTCCAGTTGCCATCAAGGGTTCATGTCACAGATAACTCGGGACCATTACAATCTACGTCATTTGGAACTGATCGCTGCCACATTCTCATTGCTCCTGGGAACCAGGTCCTCTCAGCCCCGAGGCTCCCAGGGGGAGACCAGGACCCCAGCACCTTGGTCAATTTTGAGGGGTGAGCTTTGCTGCTGGGAGAACACCCTTAACATTAATATCCTTTCCTAGTATGATGAAACTCCACACCCAGAGAGGTATTTAATAATGTCTTTTCCTGTAACATCATAAATTTCATCACACAACCACCCATTTAGGGCTTATCACAGAAGCTGCAGTACAAAGCGGGAAACTAAAGGAAAAAAAAGAGGATAGTAGTTTTGAGACAGTAGAAATGAACTAAAGATTAAGGCATCTCATGTTCTTGTCCCCCCCCCCCCCAAAAGCTGTTTACATCACAGTAAATCACCCCTGATGGGACGGTTCCCAGGGATGCTGGGCTGGAGGAGGCAGGGCCTGGCCATCTCATCCTCTACCTGTGGCAGTCAGGTTTGTACTGAATTCAAACCTGGCCCAGAGGAGAAGTCCAGCCAGGCAAGGTGGGGAGAGGTGGTTCCTGAGCAGTGACGAGCGAGGTTCTGATGCGGCTCAGCTCAGGGCGCTGGAGTCACAGACCCAGTCAACCCCAGCCGTGGCACACTCCTCCAGTGCAGAGGTGACCTTGGCCCAGATGCCTGATCCCGAGTTACTGCACAGAACTGAGGTCTGTTTGCCGGGAGAAAAGGCCGGCCTGGATGCTCCTTCTTGGGGGATTTGGAAAATCTGGCCTGTGTCACTGAACAGAGAGGGCTAACAGCTCAGGGTAGTATAAGACAGGTATTTATTTGCCAGGCACACAAAAAAATGCGAGGAGTAGAAATGTTTGCATACTTCTGATTTTTTGGTGTAAAAACACACCCTTTCCCCCTCCCCATCCTGAATGTCAATTTCTCTCCTTTCCCCCAAATCCCTGGATCTTGGAATGGAAGCAACCCTTCCCCGCCCTCCCCTCCTTCAGCCCATCTAAGTTATGCACCCAAAACAAAAATCTATGAGAAATTTGGGGTTTTACACAACAAAAAATTAGAGCATTTTGCAAAACTAGGTTTTCTACTGCGTGTCAAAAAGGTTTCCTAAACACTGATATTCACACACCATGAGAGAAGGGGTTAAATGAGCCTTTATTAGAATGTTGTAGCAGTGTGTTTGAAGAAGGTGGCCCTACAAAATAAGGATTTTAAATTAAGTCCCTAACTGCATGGATAGGAAAACCAGGGCTGGGGCTGAAGTGGGGAGCAGTGTACTCTGTCTCCACACGCATATGCACACACACGGGATGCCCTTGCACCTGCATGGAGCCAGCCTGTGCACAGCGCACACACAACAGTTTCCGCCTTTCCTCATGGAATCGATTTTTAAAGGAGTGGGAGAAACCAAAACAAAACACAACTGAGAACAGACCTGATCCTTTGTAAGACATTTATGTAGACTCTAAAGAGGGTAAAAGAAAGTCTGAAGGCGAACCCTGGCAGCATGGCCCTGCTTTAAGGGAAGGTTCTAAACTAGACCCAAATGGATACCTTGAAGTTTGGGGGCGGGCAGGGGCACTTCCCCACCCAAACACACCTGACAGGAGCACAGGCCAGGGCAGCTTAGGATGTTGTCCATCAAAATAAGTAGGAAAAGAAAAGGAAAACATTTAATAAAATAAACCACAACAACAACAACAAAAACAACAGCCTGCCCCTCCAACTTCACACTCAGGCTCTGGATGTCGCTGCTGATTCTCTCCTGCCTCCTTGTTCAGCGACACGGGGCTCCTGGGCTCCCAGGCTGGGTCTGGGTTGCAGTTTGTTCTTCTGCGAAGTGTGGGAGGTCAGGGGTCTCTGGGATGAGCAGCAACAGAGGCCTTCTGATGGAGCAAGGGTTGGATGGTCAGCGGCCCACTCTCCGGGCGTGGGGGCTGTGCTCGGCAGGGACCCTTGGGTATGCAAGGTTTACTTTAAACTCCATCATCATGAGGTGATTAAAAAAAAAAAATGTCAACCTAGAGATTGCCACGAAGGAAGGCAGCCAAAGACTGGGAGGGTAAGATAGGGAAAAGCAAAAACAAAACAGAACGCTCCACTTGACTTCAGAAGCCCTGGGCGCTGGTCTCGCCCAAGCATGTCACAGTGTCCAGGGTGAGCCATCCATGTGCCCTGCTGGGGGCCGAAGGGGAGGGCTGGGAGCAGAACCAGCCCCTGAGGTCTGCTTTTCTGCTGGTGTTGGGCAAACTAAAGGCAAAGAAAGGAAGAAAGCCCATAGGGAAGGTCCCCCAGTGATAATCCTCATCCACCTGTGAAGTGCCCCCCCAGCTGCGACGAGACTTTGCAGCCAATGAACGGAGGTCTCCCTTCTGCAGCACAGCTGGTACTGGCTCGCTCTCTCGGGGAGCATGGTGTCTTCCCAAGCGGAGGGTGGCAGGGCCAGGTGGGAGGGAGAAGGGAGCCTGTTCTCCACTGGGCCCGGCTCGCACTATTTCCATGTGGCCGACTGGGGGATGGAGCGTGGTGGGATCATGTCCAGGAGGTACTCTCGCTGGCGGTCCACGGCCGAGGAGGTCTTGTGCACTGCCAAGCTTGGGCTGACAAACGCAAGGGCCCCGCCTGCAAAAGAATAGAGGGACAGGCCGAGACGGCCCCTGTCGAAGGAGGCTCCCAGGAGGAATCCAGCCTCAGCTGGGCCAACCAAGCACAGGTGGCACAAATCCTAGGCCTTGGAGCTGAAGAGAATATAAGAAATAACCCAACTGCCTTCCCAACATTCCCAGCCTCTGCTGCGGTAACCCCAATAATCACATTCTGTCAGCTACCCAAGAGCTACGTCTAAACTGAGTTGTTTACCACAGTGCTGTTAAGAACAGTGAAAAACCACAAATGACTAATTGTGCAACTGGGCAATCCAGTATGACAGAACATTATGCAGCCATGAAAAATGGCCCTGTCCTCAAAAGAGTTTTTAATGATACAGCAAAGTTCTCTCATGAAAATGTTAAGAGGGACATGGAATGGCGAACACAGCATGATCCCTCTGTAGGACACACGTTTACACACAGGACCCTCAAGTGAAGAGGCAGACTGGGGAGAAGCCCCTGAGCACAGCATTGGTTCTCCTGGGGTGGAAAGTACCATTATCTTCTCCTCGCAGCTATCTTCTCTCTTTGTATTCTCCAAACTTTCACAATGAACAAGTGTCACTTTTATAATTGGATAATAAAGAAATGACCGCCACACATACCAGCACACACAGATTTTTGGCTGGCCTTGTGATAAGGTGTGCCCAGACACCCAGCTGCAGCAGGGCACCCCAGAGTCACTGTGTTACCTTGAGACTATTTTTGGTGGAGGTTAATACATTCTGTGGAACAAGTGTTCCGAGGTCAAATGCACTAGGGAACCCTCCCTGTGTGTTCAAGGCTGGCACTCCAGAAACCTGCTGTTTCCCTCAAACCACCACCCAGAAACTCAGGGTGACCAGGAGCACTGGCAGAACTCTTCTGGAAAATGCTGCTTTTAAACTGTGACTCTTTTTACCTCTAATCCTACCGTTGAACACAGCAACTATTTATTCCTTCACATTCCCTTTCAAACATTACCTTTATACACACACACACAGTTTTCACATTGGTGGTATCACTGCATACATACCATGCACACTTGTATTTGACTTTTCCCACTGATTTCATATACTTGCAAGTTTCCCATAAAAGGAATTTCCAACGAGCCTGTGCATTCTTTACTGTTATCTTAACACGCTGAGCAAAAGTATCTCTGCCTGGTTTAGGATTACAAATGCCCTCTGCTCTCCAGGCTGTGTGGATTCTTCTGCAGTTGAGTGCAAGTCCTCCCTCCTCTCCTGAGCTCACTCTCCTGGGGCAGACTCTGATACCTGGGCATGTTTCTAACTCGTGGTCAGCTGCATGCACAGTGGGCTCCCGTGTTTTGTTTGCACGGACAGTCTAGCCTTTCCCAGTTCTGACAAAGGAGACATTTTATGACGGTGCCTCTTCTTCCTACAGGGATGCAGCGACCACGGGCGGACACTCACTCTCACGATGAGAACACTCGGCTGTCTCTTTCTCTCAGCCCCTTTGTGCCTACCTTTTCCACTTTCCCATTTTTGATCCCCGCCCCTGTCCCAGGGTCCCCGTCCTTCTCCTTGCATTCTTGATCTCTTTTGTACTTTGCACCAGCTGACCTGTCCAATCCAGAGGGGAGGAAGAGAGTGTCTCACAGAGCAGGGAATGAAGGACACTGTCTGGGTGAGCAATAAATGATATTAGTGCACCAAGAAAGGTACAACGTAACAGCAAAAACAGGTATTCCCAACAGCAGGAAAGGGCAAGGGGAGCATGAGTTGGCAAGATGAGCATCTGTGCTGACAGAAGTCCACTGGATGTGGGGGGAGATACTGCCTGAACTGGATCTGCCCCATGTTTCGGGTCAAGGGCTGAGAATTTGGTACAGAGCGTGCAGATATTGAGGGCGATTAATATCTACCCAGGGCTACCACTTGTTCAGGGTGTCCTAGTTAGTGAACAGAAGAGAATGAGCTGAAGAGTTGGAGGAGTTGCTCTCAGAAAGCAGGCCTGGGGGTTCAAGGCCCTTGGTGCCGCTTCCGTTCACCCTGTGCATGTGCACGTCTTTGTTAAAAACAAGGAAGGTGTGGATCTGACCATGGCAAGGTCTCTACTTTGAGCCCCATGGGGGCTGCCCACCTGTACTCAGAGGTGCCTTCTTCCAGTTGGAGGTGGTGTTGCCCTTGCCAGCACTCACAGCTCTCTCGGAATGTCTGCCCGTCCTGCTAACAAGGGCTGTGGCCGAGGCTGTGTTCTGCAGTTTGGGCGACTGGCTGAATGTGTGCAGGACACCTCGAGGTGTGGTGGCCGAGCCCCGTGACAGCTGGCTGGAGGCCTAGAGTGGAGAAAGGGTGCAGCGGCTCACGTGGGGAAGCAGGTGGCAAAGAGCAAGACGCTCAGCGCAGCCTCTCCTTGCTCTGGCCGACCTCTTCCCACCCACACAGGGTCCCTAAAGTCCAAAATCAGGAGACCAGGTAAGTTACACCGAGGGGAGAGGGGAAGGGAAGGAGACAGACAGACAGACGCAGGCAGCATGACAGTCGGCGACTGACGTGGTCACGGTCTGGGACGTGAGGGCTGGTTGGTGGCGCGGTGCAGGGGGCTCCCGGCACCGCAGTTCTGACCTGTAGCACAGCCCCGTTACTCCAGTCGCGGGCCTCTCCTGAGCGGAACGCCAACTTACGCCGGGGTTTTATGACCTACACAAATGGGGGTTGAAATTGAGGTCAGCACTGTCCCAAGCTGGCCTAGGGTGACCTAAAGTGACCAAAGAGCAGCAGCTGTGGCCACGCGAGGCCCAGTCCCCACAGGACAGGCTGTTTCCCGAGGGCAGCACAGACACCCACTATGTGGGGATCTTGAGAAGATATATTTATTAGTGAATTACAAATGACTTCCAAGGATACAAAAAATTGCCAATGGGGAGTTTTGGGTCTACAGGGGGTGGGAAAGTAAAGCATTAAAAAAAAGCAGCCAAAAAAACTTAATTTCAAACTTGCTTCTCTCCTTAATTTAGCTAGAACATTTCTTCCAAATGCCCCTTTTGTATCTCAATGTGGCTTTCAGAAAAGTCCTTTAAGACAAGAAGTACTTGTCAGCCGGCACACTGCGAGTGAAAGCTACAAAATCTAAAAAAACTGCAAATTAGTATTTTTACCACCAAACGCCACCATTAAATGCAATCTAGACGCACAGTTAACAACCAGGCAGATGATCGATGAATGTGGGGCAGAACGTCAGAACATCTTGACTGCTAGTGACAACTCCCTGCCAAGGGAATGCGGCCCCTCTCCTGGAAGGCGAGGCCGCCCAGCCCACGTTCTCAGGCTGCAGGGCCACAGCTCCGGCCCTCGGACAAGGACTCTCACCTGCTTCAGCGTAGGGTGCGGGGCAGCAGCAGGCTCAGCCTTGGCCTGCGCGGGGGCAGTGCCCTGCTGCAGGAGGCGCTGCTCGATCTCCTGCTCCTGCTGCAGCGCCTTCACAAAGGCGGCCTTCAGCCGGCTTGTGTGCTCCACCTTGAGCGCCTTCTTCTGGTTGGACGCCATGCAGTTCTCACACATTATGGCGCCACCCTTCTCCTCCCGCCAGCGGCACGTGAAGTCCGTCTTGCACTGGGCACACATGTAGGGCTCTCGGGACAGCACAACAGCAGCTGACATCCTGCCTGCTGCAGGGAGAGATGGGTGGGCTCACATGGAAGGAACAGGATGCCAGAGTCAGAACCCCTACCATCCCTGGGCAGGATGAGAATGCGGGAGAGAGCAGGAGCAGCGCCCTGGGCTAAGTGGCTCAGGCGACATCAATAAACAAAAGCCCCAGTTGACGTTATCTGTTTGTTTAGTTTAGCAAACACATATTGAGTGCTGACTGTGTGCAGACACTAGGCCAGCCTCAGGGAAGGTTTGTGGGTAGAAGCAAAGTTGAAGCGCTTTGGAAAACGCAGGTTAGGCGTCCTGGGTATTAACTCGCAAAGATATTAGTGGAGTCAGATTGGCTTCTCCTGATCACCTTTCCCACCTGCAGCACAACATTAGATCTCACAGGCAGCTGTTTCTAACCCTCCCACACCTCATCACCAGTGGAGAGGAGATGGTGACCACTCCAGGCCACCACCTTGCTGGAATGGGCACCCTGGCTAGTGGGCGAGTTAACTAAGGGCTGATCAGTGAGTGAGCGTTCATATTGACAAGCACTGTGATCCACGCCTTGTAGATCAAGGTATTTGTTTCACACAACAACCTCCTGAGGCAGAATCTCCAACCACATCGTCCCAAGGAAACGGAGGCCAGGGTGATGAAGTGACCTATAGAGTCACATGGCCAGTCAGTGGCAGGGTCAGGACTCATAGCTGCTGCCTGGCTGAGGGGACATGGCCACTCTGGGGCCTCAACCCCCTTGCCTGGGAGATGAGAACATGGCATCTCCTCAGTCAGCCACAGGAAGGGTGACCAGCGACGCAATATAAAGCGCCTACTGAGGTGTAGCGTCAATACTCTTTTTTTTTCTTCAATGTACATATTTTCGCCATTCAATGTGCAGGACGGGGTGTTTTTTGCATTTTGTTCCTATCTTTTCTGTGTCCAGCACTCAGGGTTGTTTAACTGCCTCTTGAGCATTACAGACCATGGTGCTGAGAGACTCTTGGCCTTCTCCCCCTCCCCCGCAGCCCTGGGCCTGCCTGAGCTGACCCTGAGCACTGAGGGGCTGTGCAGGAACCAACTCTGGGTGGACCTATCACCCCACAAAGCAGATGAGAGGTCACTTGTCCAAGCTGCCTGCAGCCCAGGGTCTACCTCAGGTCACCAGCTCTGGGCCCCTGCCTGTAGCTAACATGCTCTGGTAAGAAGAGCACATCTTCTTCCACATGTCCAACCCCAGAGGATTTGGTACCTGCTTCCCAGGCAGCTGCGGCCTGCGTGATCAGTGTCAGAGTTGAGACATGGGTGTGAGGCTGCACTCAGCGTCCAGCCTGGGGCTCTAGGGAGTGTCAGGAGATGCCTCAAGCAAGGTTCAGAGCCTCCTCCCACAATTAGGTCCTATTTGGGGCAACAGGAGAGGGACACTGACCCCTGATGAGAGAACCAGCAGAGACATGCTGGTCTGGGAGAGAAGGAGCCTGGCGCAGGCAAGTGCAGGATGAGTGAGAATTTCTTCCTGACTCAGGCCTCCCCACCCCTCCTTCCTACACTGGCCTTGCAGCAGCTTTTTTGCCAACTTCACTTCACCATCAAGGAGACACCAAAAGGATCCAGGTACATCCAGGCTGTGTCAGAGCCCATACCCCTCCCCGCTGGGCCTGGCTCTGGGGCCTGGTGGTCCTTCAAGGCAGCCTGACAGGTGGAACCCACCAGGCCCTCCCCTGCCCTGGACTGCTTATGGCTTGGCCTCCTCCCTCCTCAACTTTGAGCATCTGATGAGATGACATGGGGAGACAATTCAGGCTGGCTGCCCAATTAATGTCACCACGAGGCTCAATCTCAGGGCAGAAGCGTCCTCAGATCAGAGTCTGGTGGAAGGCCCCTAAGGGCCAACCTGGCTTCTCACCTACGTTTCCAATGTTGTTTTTGCTCACTACCCTGTATATGCCCTTTTATTCCTAAAACCTCCTAGTACACAGGTGTGCTTTCCAAACTGCTCCCAAGGAGGGTGATAAGATGAGTCTGGCCTAGACATGAGTGTCTTTCTCCCACCTTGGGGGCTCATGGCACTCAAGGCTCTGGAAAGTTCTTGCCCAAGAGCCCTATCTGGAAGCAAAGCCTGTCAGCCTCCCACACACTTTCCTCCTCACTGCAGCCCCACCCACCCTCATGGCACACCAATGTCACAGGGCCATTGATGCTTGTCACCTTGGACCATGCACATGGGGCTCTGGGCCTCAACAGGGCCCAGCTCTTAGAGAAGTCCCCAACAAGAGAAGGAAGGTGCCGGTGATGTGTTTGAGGACTTATCCAAACCTCATAGCAAATAAATACTGATGATGTGATGTTGTCCATAAGATGCTCCCTGCAAGGCAGCTCTGGGTACACTGTAGGTGCACCAACATGTGCTGTGCATTGAAAAAAACCTATGTAACAAACTTCAGTGGTAAGAGATGAAAACAGGTCCATGGCTTGCTCACCTTGTGTCTCCAGCAGGTTTTGCACCACCTCCTCTAGGCCAACCAGATAGATGAATTCGTTGTTGGCAGCGCTCGGCAGGAAGTTCATCTCTGGGGCCGGGGGCTTGGGAGGGGGGATTTCGAGCAGTGTCTTCTCCAGTTGTTTGCGCAGCGCAAGCTTGGCGGCCGCCTGCCGGCTGGCTGGAGAATCAGCAGAGGTGACGACAGAGGCCACGCTGGTGGGGGTGGAGTTGGCCTGAGCAGAAGTGGCTGTCGTCCCTTTCAGCGATGCTGGGGAGGGCTTTCAGGAGACAACAATCTGGTCAGTGTGAGGATAGGCCCCACCGCTGCACCACAGCCAAGGATGGCACGGTTAGCTGCACTGACTGATGAGTCCTTAAGAGAGTAGCTCCGAGCTGCCTGACATCAGCGAGCAGCAGGCAGAGCTGCATTAAACTCACTGCCCTATGAGATGACCAATCCTGTAAACACACTAGCTGAGGTTTAGCTGATATTCAATAAACCGCACACATTTAACGTCTGAAATTTGCTATGTCTTGCCATCTGAGGACACTCATGAAGTCGTCACCATGACCACGTCAGTGCTCCCAGGCATGGCCACTGTCTTATTACTATGGCCTGACCCTCCTCTCAACACAGGTCTGGGCAGCCTCTTTCCTCACAGGGGTGCAATGGTGGTTCACTGTGGCGTCAATGACATTTCCCTCATGAGCATCTTTGCGTGTGCTTGTCTGGAGATGCTAATGTCTTAGCTCACATGTCGTCACTGTCATCAGGGTTACAGGGGAGATGAGCTCCTGGACCAACCCCTGCCCCTTCACTCCTCTCGATCTTTACTGCTCCTGCACTCCTTTATCATCTTTGTCTGGACCCTAGTGGCTGACTCCCCATTGTCTCCTTGCTCCAGTCTACCCGCCCCGTAACACTATCAAGTGCTCTCCCCAAACCTCAGAGCTGACCATGCCAGTGCCCTTAGCTTTGTGGGGTTGAGGACCCTTCTGGAAATCGGAGGAAAGCAGCATACACCATTCCCATGAAAACACACACACCTAACAACTTGCACATAATACTTCACGGGGCTCAAGGAGCCCAGGTTGCTATCACAAGGACACCCACCCCTACAAAGGGTCTCCAGAGTCAAGCAAGACTCCCCAATGCAGAGGATACCATCACAAAACCTTGGCCTGGGTGCCCTCCTCTCACCAACCAGTTCCTCTTTGTCCCCCTCAAGGGCACCCCTGGCACCGCTGGGAGCAAAGCCACACATTCCACCACTGCCTGTCCCGTTTCCATCTTTACAGCACACTGAGCCGAGAAGAGGGTCTGGCACACAGTAGGAATTTGATCAACATTTATGGATGAAACTGCCTGCATAGGTCAGTCTTTTGCTCTGCTCAGAACATCCTCATATGGGTGGCAGACTTGAATTCAACTTTAGAGGAGGCAGGGACACTGCCCAGAGCCCTGCTGGCCAGGCTGTTATCTGAGGAAGGCAAGGATGCACCATGCCAAAGGAAGAAGGAAGGATAACTCGCCGTCAGCAAAAGCCTCTGCAGACCCAGTAATTTTATCTGTCAATGAGACTCTTGCTTCCAGCCCTGGTACCCATCTTCCCGGCTCTGCTGGGCGGGGACAGACCCTCCCCATCTCAGAGACTCTGTACAGAGGTGAAGAAACAAGTGGCTAAGAATAGAAGTGCTGGTGCTGTGAGGACATTTGCAGACGTGTTCTCCATACATGCTCTCTTGCCTGCAGTGGGGAAGGCGGGGAGGGCTCCGGTGCCCCCCAGCCCTCTCCAAGCCCGTTGGACACCTCAGCTGGCCTCATCTCTCCCCACAAACCTGCTGTGCCCCACACACCGCCTCTCCCAATCCCTCAGTCTCCCCACAGCTCAGCTCAGGGCGGCACCCCTCACCCTCTCAGCAGCCATCTACTTCTGCTAGATAGCAGATATGAACACAGGACTCCTGCCCATGCTTTCATGTCCCAACAGGCCCAGAGGAACTCAAACCCAAACCCTGTGGAGTATCCAAGGCCTCATCCGGCTCTGAGGGAGCAGGCAGGTCATGCTGCACTGCCCTGGAGACCTGACTGTGTCCCAGGACCAGGAGCCCTTACAGGGGCAGTCACAGAGCACACGCCCCATGCTGGGCCCTCACCTGTGGGATGTTGACAAGCAGACTGGTGCTGGGGACGTTGGCGACGCGGATGAGGCCCTGCTGGATGATCCTCTGTCCCTGAATTTGCACACTAGGCACAGATGCCCTGGGGGCCAGGAGGAGTGGCGGTGGCCCCGTGCTGGAATGTTGTCTGATGTTGTGGATTTGCTGTCAGGGTAGGGTGGGGTGGGGGACAAGATGATGAGAGGGACGATGGAGCAAGGCACAGGGAAGGGGTGGCCCCATAGACCCCAACCCCGGGAGCTTGGGAGGACCAGGAAGGGTCGTTCTTGTGAGGTGGACAGTTGTTTGGGGTTGCCGGACACACTCCTGTCCCCTAAGTGCACACTCTGCTCACCTGGGCCCCCCTGACAAGTGGGGGCATGACGACCTGTGAGCTCGTCTGTGGCCCCAGCTTTGAGGACGCCTGCTGTCCACCACGGACCAGGGGCGGCGGGATGACACTGCCAGGCATTCGAGTCGAAGAGGCCTGTCAAGGACACCAACCCCCAGATCTTTTATGGCTTTTTTAAAAAATGAGTTCACCGTTCTTGTACTTGTTTAAAAAAAGAGGGGGTAGATAGAGAAAATAAAGCTAAAACGCTTATTTATTCTAAACATGGAAGAACCAGGGACACAGACTCTGACATGAGCTGCGCAAACCTGGGCTCACTCAGGACTCAGGGGCCCACCAAAGCTGCCCGCCTGCTGGTCTGAGCTGGAGACTCAGGCCTGTTTGAGGGGAGATGGGCCCTTGTCCAGATCTCAGTCCTGTGGCTAAGAGCAGGAGCTCTGCTGGTCTCACTCCATGGACAGAGGAGGCTGTGAGCTGTGCTGGGATGAGGCCCTTGCAGGTCCCACAAGTGCCCTGTGGAGAATCAGGACTAAAGGAGCCGGGTCTGCCTAGCATCTTAGTCCTCTCTCCAGTCTAGCTAGGGGCCCTCCCAACATCAGCATGATTTGTTTATGGTGTCAACGGTGGCCTACTTTGGGCCTAGAGGTTCGGAAACACAAACATGCTTTATGTTTTGGGCTGCAGCCGGAAGGCCTCACTCCAGTCTAACCAGAAGGCACAGGCAGCCTTTCACAAGAACTGATTGGGGCTGCTCAGGATCCTGATGCGGAGGGAACACTGACCTGAAGCGATGGCTTGCCGGAAGGAATGTTCTGGGCGCCCCGAACTAGCGGGGGAGGGGTGGTCACGACACTCCCAGTGGAGCCTGCGGGCTACAAGAGAGCAGGACACGCGGAAGATGAGAGGGCCGCCAGCCCCGCTCCCCCCACACATAAAGCTGACGGTGGAAGACTGGTTTTCTTCCTCTTCCAAAGGCATTAGGCTCTCAAAGGTTCTGCTTCCAGCCTGCTAAGTCCATCCGGGGCAGACACTGACACGTTCGAAATGGGCAGAGAGATTTTCTAGCATCCCTCAACCCCCCAGGGACTCTTCGCATCACTCTTGGTTTAGGCACCAGCTCTGCTATCCAGGGGACAGGAAGGCTGGCAGTGGTGGCTGAGGCAAAGGACCTCAGCCAAGACAGGACAATCCCAAACTTGGTGAGAAAATGCTGGGTCCAGGCACTTCTTAAAGTCACATATTCCACTAGAGAAGAGACAGTGACAGACTTGGTTCACTTTACCACGTCTTAAAGAACTGACAAGGAAACGAGTAACAGGCAGGCTCTGTCCATCAGGAGATTAACAGATGCCAGGCTGTGTCTATTTGGTGACTAAGGGTGGGAGCTCAAGCAAACCCCCATGTCAGACCAGTAAGTGTCCTCCTGTCCGGCTTCCTTAAGAGGACACATGTTCTAGACACTCTTTCACGGCTCATACTGCTCGAAATGCATTTACTTTCTGGTTTACTGAGATAGTGATTAGAGTAAAGGGAAGGGTAGCTTCATCACCAACCAGGAACCTTCCCAGAATGGGGCACCAAAAAAGCCCAACAAAAGAAACTTTACTTTGCCTTACGTGGTAAGCAAGCACAAGGAGCCTTGGGCACCAGGGGAGATAGCAGGAGCCCCAGGACTGGGCCTCTGGGGCCTGGGCCGTGTTGTGGCACACCCCTGCTGCATTCAGGAATCTGTCCACAAAATCGCAGTAGCCCCCGACAGCCAGCATGGCCATCCACAAGGCAAGAGGCCTTTCTGGAAACAGGCTCTGGACAGAGCTCTTAACCCAGAACTGTGATTCCAGCAGCTTCAGAGACATCTGCTCTCCATTTCCTTGATGCTTTTAGTCTACAGGGAGTGAGTTTTACATACTCAGATCCGGAATATCCTAGACTGAAATGTACTCTGACATCCTTTCAGCTAAACTTGAGTTCTGCAAATTTCCATTTCAGACCTTGGCCCTCATGCCCCTGAGGAAACCTGTGCCCTCACAACCAGCCTTTCTGGCTCCTGGCGCTGAGGTGGGCCATGGTAACGACTGTGGTTCTAAATGGCTCCCACTGACCCCTGAGGAGGGAAGAGACTTGCCCACACCTTCTGGGCAGTGGTTTCCTTTTGTATTTGACTCTGCCGCAACTTTTTCAATAAAACGAGTTTTGCTTCTTCTAGTCTTAACTCTTCTTTCAGTTGCTTAATCATTCTTTCTCGTTCTTCAGGACTGCTTTTCTGCAAGGACAAGAGAACAAGGATTGGCAGGGAGGGCCGGCAGCCGGGGAGCACAGACTCCTCTGGCACCAGCTCCACTTGGGAGTACCATCGGGCAGGTTGTTACCCAGCATGGGGAAAAGGCTCACCATGAGGGCCTCGGTGCTGGTCTCCTTCAAGGCCTCCTTCATCAGCCCGTTCACTAGCGGGCTTGCGGGCTGCTCACTGTCAGACAGCACGATCACGTCAGGCGAGGGGGCTCTCCTCTCGGACTTCATGTCACTGTGGAGCAGGGACAGCAGGTTCTTACCAGGGTGCCCTGACTATGCCAGACACTGTTCCCCAGAGCCCTGTGCCCACACTCCACAGACGCCTGGATTCAGCCACAGACACTGCAAGAAGGTGGGAGTACGACCACCCCTCTAGGTCTCCACAGCCTCTCTTCTTGGGCCTCCCCACAACCTGCCCGGGCTGCCTTCTCTCATTGCACTCACCACACAGCAATCAAACCCACCAGTTTACAAGTGGGTCCTGCAACAACCAGGACTATTCGTGGTGCCCACCTCCATGTCCCCAGGGCTGAGGACATCTGTGCGTCTGAGAGTGATGTAGCCATTGTGGAAAACACTGCAGCTTTCTCTACCACGTGGCTATGTGTCAGGAGCCCTGACAGCGGGCCAAGACCACGCTCAGCCCTGGATCCCAGGGCCAAGGCTAGGTCTTGGCCCGCTGTCAGGGCTCCTGAGTGCTGGTGTGATGGAATGTGTGCGCCTCACAAACCAAGGGCTGCCACCTGCCCATGCTGGAAGCCACCTGATGGGGAGCCTGGCCTCACGCAAATCAGCCTATCTTTGCTCGACCCAGACTCACTGACAGCCCTCACACGTGGGCAGCCCACCTGTCCCCAAAAGATAGAGGGCCTGATCCACATGCTTTTGGCCTGCACTCTAGCACATGGACACGGGATAGTACCACCTCAGGAGGTAGCTGAGGCTGCCTGCTGGATAGTTCTTCCTGGGTCACACGTGGCCTCTCTGTCTTGCCCGTGGCAATGTGACAGCAGTGGCCACATGTTTTGAAACTGACTAGAACACAGAACACATTTTCTCTTGCACATCTGGGTACTCTCCATCTACGTGATCTGCTCACAGACTGGTTTCCAGCCACCCCCACCTCCCACACTCTAACAGTGGGTTGACCGGTCTGCTGCCAAGGCCACCTCTACCTGTTACCTTTTTGCCCTCTTAATCCAATCCTGCCCACCCCACAAGTTCCCTAGGATGTAGATGCACATCTAGTGCTGCTGAGCTTCTGCTATGGTGGCAGCGACTACACACACACAAGGACCAATGAGTCCCAGAGACGGCGCTTTGCCCCTGCCAAGCAGCTCCGTTTGCTGAGGGCATAATGTAAACTTTCCCTTAAGATCTGGCCTCAGCACATGTGTTGAAGGAATTGGATCCTTCTGTCAGCAGGAACTCCAGCCCAGGACAGAACGTGTCCGCTAGGTGGCACTGTGACCCAGAGAACAAAGTCAACTAAGTTGACTGGTAGTAACAGCTCAAAGTTGCCACGCTCCTTCCACCAGACCCCAACGGAGCAGGGACAGAGTTACAGACAGAAAACTGTGCTTTAACAGCCCACGGAACTGCCTTTTCCATTCCTGGAATGAGTTGCGTCTTCAGGGAAGAACATTTGCTGACCTTCCCTGGATCCTGGACGCCCCCCTCACTGCTGCCCACACCCCGCCTCTCCGAGCTGCATGGTGGCTGCACTTCAACACTCCTAGCCCTGATCTGATTTAACCAGCACAGCTGCCGGCTGGCCTCTCACAAGAGAGCAGGGGAATGGGAAAAAAGGCACCATTTCAAAGTATACAATCCCCTCATTGGGGTATCAGCTGGCACTCTCAAGGCCAGAAACTGGCTGGTTGTTTATCAAGTAAAGTAACCAAGGACGTCTCACTTGGCCTCACCAAACCAAAGACCAATGCAATTTGGGAACTGCTCTTTCAAATCTGTGTCTCTCCCTGAGGACTGCGCACTCCACCCAAGATCGACTTGCAAGGTGATCTCGGGGCTCCAATTCCAGGTTCACAGACACTGAGCGGACGCAAGGCCCCAGCACAGGACCCGTGGCCACTGGTTCCAGGCTAGGTGAGCTCCCAACTGGCTGCATCAGGAGGCTGCAGGCAGGCAGAGCACCAGCCCAGGCAGAACCACATCTAGAGTTATAGACTGCAGGCACTTCCTGAGCAAATGAGGCTGAGACCACGTAATCTACAGGGATTTATCACGTTCTATCAGCTCATTGACGGCGTGCATTTCTTCTGAAGGTGAGATATCTAATAAAACTCAAGTTTGCCTGAGGGAAGAGGGTAGGGTGAGGGACCGAGACCATATGGAGGCTAAAGCTCCCTGAGATGGCCACTCTGACCACAGCACTCCCATCTTGGCCTCAGACTAATCAATAACTCGTCCAAGAGATGACGTCACCTCCCATCAATGATCACTCAGCATCCCAGCAGCCAGCAGGGAGTGAACTTCCTGTATGCTAATCAGGCCACCAAAATATCATGTGACAAAGGCATTTCCCTCCTTGGTCACGTGACCCTTTAACTGTGCCTTCCAACGTGAAAACCATGACAACAGCCAGTTCTAACCGGTTTGTGACACGCAGCCTTCATTTTGAGAACTGAGGTAGAGTTCAGGTACTGTCAGAAAATGGAGGCGCCCAGCTCACTCTGGGGCTGCCGGGCTGCAGGCACTTCCTGTGTGGTGCTGGCCCACAGGGGACTGTTGGCTTGTTACAGGGACCCGGGTCACTTCTTTCAAACACAGAAAGGACACACCAGCTCCTCTAATTTCCAACACGAAAAACTTTCCTAAGCTAAATTTGTAAAGCAAAGGTGCTTCAAGTGTCTTGTACTTTCCCAGAGAGTTCTTTTAATTCAGGAAAAAAGAACACCTCTTTGACACAGGCTCAAAATTATCGTATTTTTTTAAATTGTTTTAAATTATAAAATGATTTAGGCCAGGAGAACAAAAGCAAAGGAAATGTAGCCCAACCTGCCAGGGGAGGGGGGGCTGTGGCCAGGTACACAGCTTCATTCCATGGTAGCCGCCTGGGCACCAAGTCTATTTGGAAACGACACGATTTCAGGGCAAATCCAATAAGACCATCCTGCCAATCTTAGGAAACTTTATATAAAACATTATGATCAAAAGAGATTTAACATGACCTACGAAAATCCCTGGAAGCAGGCCAGGCTGTTATCAGCGAAAACAGTCTCACCGCCTCCTCCCCCGTATGCCGGCCCTGGCTAAACAAACACCAAAGTTCTGTTACCTGCCAGGAACTTCCGTCAAGTTTCCTGGAGGGTGGGCTAGGATTATAAACTTAACTCAAAACAGGACATCACCTCTACAGCACCAGGTGACCGTCCCAGCTGCTGACCAACCAGTGTTAGTGCAAAGTTAATATTTAGTGTCCTCCAGGCCTGTGCCAGGGGAAGAGGTCGGATCGAGGGAACACAGAAACTGTCCTCGGGGGCTCTGACCTCCGTTGTTCTCTGCCTAGGGAAGGCACACTTCATCCACACTCATTCATTCATTCACTTACTCATATTTGCTGAAGACCTACCTAAGAAGCAGGTGCTACGGCAGGCAGTGGGGATTAACCCCTGGATAGAAGGCAGTTCTGTCCCTAGGGTCCACCACGAGAGATAGACCCAAAACCAGGATGGGGAGAGGCACGTGGGGGTGTGCCCACTACCACCCACCTCAGCCCAGAAGCAGCAGGGGCAGCTTCTCTGGAGCTCATACAAATGCATCACCTTGCTGCCCCAGACCTCCTCAAAGTCTGCATTTTGACAAGATCCGGGAGCTTCCTGCACATACTAAGGAAGTTGGTGATGACTGTGAACCATGGCCCAATGAGGCCTTGGGACAACAAATTCCTCCTCAGGACTGGCCCGGGGAGACAGGCAGGGCCAGCCTCAACCATTCCTTCCCTACTCCCCTCATCTCTTGGGCCTGGCTATATGGGGAGAGACAGGTGGCTGCTAGCGTGGGGTGGTGGGCTTCACTAGACCTAGCTCCAGCCTCACCTGCTCCTTCTGCAAACACTCACCCTGACCCCACCGGACCCTCCCCTAGGGCATTCCTCCCACTCGAGCCCTCACACCTCCCAGGCCTCTCTGGCCCCCAGCCCCTGTACTACAGGCTCCTCCTGCCCACAGACACGTCCTGTCGTGGGCTCCTCCCACTTCCATGTTCCTCCACCACACCCTCGGGTTTCCCCTGTGAGCCCCAACTCACCCTTCAAACCGTCTGTGCCCTCAGAAAGGTCCCTGGCTGGCCCAGTTATTCCACAACCCGGCCCTGGAAGCATGGTCAGCACTCCCTCAGTGTGCTCATGGGGAGTCCCCACAGTGAACACCTGGGGAACCACTCCCCCACAGCCTGCATACCTGGGGAAGCCTTCTCAGCCCTGCTCCCTGCTGTCCCTCCTGCGTGTGGGGAGATCAGAGCAGAACTCTGGGGGTTCTACTTACAAGCAGCACAGGGCTGAGCAGGGGCCCCTGCCAGTGACCAGTTCGCTCACCCTCACTCCAGTAAACTCGTGCCAAGGAAGTACCTTCACCATGCTGCACAGCGCCAGCATGGCAGCCCTATGCCAGATCAGCCCACCCTCCTGCAGCCTCCCACAGTAATGCTGTCATTGGGGGTTCCCGCACCCCAAGCTGGAGCTGGAGGCCATCACAGGCACACATGCCATCCTACTTGGAGTTTGTCTCCACAAAGTCCAGGCACTGTGGCTCCCAGTGAGGGCTAGGATGTTCCCAGGGTGACCCTACGAGCAAAGGACAAGAGAGAGCCCTGACTTGACACCACAACCCAGAAAAGGGGGTAAGACCTGCACCTCCCCAGAGCCAGAGGGGCAGGAATCTCCTCCTAGTGCCATGCTGGCTGAGGTGGGAGAGAAGCCACAGGGCCTCCTTCCTCCCAAAGCCTGTGGTCATGCCTACTAAGGTGAGCACCGGGCCAGCCCTGTGGCTTGGTGGTTAAGTGCGCGCGCTGCAATGCTGGTGGCCCGGGTTCAGATCCCGGGTGCGCAGCGAGCACCACTTCTCCGTCCATCCTGAGGCCGAGTCCCACATACAGCAACTAGAAGGATGTGCAGCTATGACATACAACTATCTACTGGGGCTTTGGGGGGAAAAAATTAAATAAATAAAATCTTAAAAAAAAAAAAAAAAAAGGTGAGCACCAAGCCTGCAC